TCCCTGACACACTGACAGATCCCTGACACACTGACCGATCCCTGTCACATCGACAGATCCCTCACACATTAACAGGTCCCTGACACACTGACAGATCCCTGTCATGCTGACAGATCCCTCACACATTAACAGGTCCCTGACACACTGAAAGATCCCTGTCACACTGACAGATCCCTCACACATTAACAGGTCCCTGACACACTGACAGATCCCTGTCACACTGACAGATCCCTGACACACTGACAGATCCCTGTCACGTCGACAGATCCCTCACACATTAACAGGTCCCTGACACACTGACAGATCCCTGTCATGCTGACATATCCCTGACACGCTGATAGATCCCTGTCACGCTGACAGATCCCTCACACATTAACAGATCCCTGTCACACTGACAGATACAGGTAGGTACCTGGTCATGCCCAGATCCCGTTGTGCCAGCCCTTGCCCACAGCCCATGCCCGGACACACAGAGAGAGAGAGAGAGAGGGGGCTGCCCCTCACATACTCACATGCCCAGATCCCCGTACGTGTTGTAAAACTCCATGTAGTTACAGGCTTGGATCCAGCCGACCACCCAGGTCTCGGCCCGGAGGATGGGGGGCACGCAGACCCGGGCGGTCGCTCGGAAATATGGGGTCCGGTACCGGAGCACAATGTCCGAGCTCTCGTCGATGACCGTGGGGGTGTCGTCGATGGTGGCGGAGAGTTCCTTGAGGCAGATGGATTCACGGCAGACCCGGGGTTTACAGACCAGGCTGTTAATACAGCCCATTGCAGCAGCAAACTGGGGCAGGTAGAGCCAGAGAGATATCAGCAACATGCAGCTTCCAGAGCGGAACATTGAGGGGCTGAGCTCAGGGTAACTCACTACAGCCTGGCTCATTCATCCCCTGTCACTGTGTGTGTGTGTGTGTGTGTGTGTGTGTGTGTGAACAACAAACCCACCCCCCCACCCCCAACTCCTGCTAACTGCAACCCAGAGCAAAGGGGCTGTACATGAGGGAACTCCCACCTTGAGAATGAATGGGAGACGCTCCCTGCAAGTGAGGATTGAATTAACGACCCCTGCTCTCTGAAGCTGCCTTCCTTTAGCCCCGTCTGCCCTGAGCATGGTCCCGGGCCATGTCCCAGGGGGAGGTACTGAGTTGGGGGGGGGGGGGGGGGTGGGGGGGGAACGCAAGGACTAAAATAAAAATTATGTAAAATAAAACAGCCAAAAGTTGTCTGAGAGCCGGGACTGAGGAGGGAGAGAAATGGCAGGAGAATTCTCTCTGGTCAGTGTCAGGAACAGCTTGCAGGATGTTCCTCTCTCCCTCTGTCTCTCTCTCTCTCTCTCTCTCTCTCTCTCTGTGTGTGTGTGTGTGTCTGAGCTCCCTCTGCGGCTGCCGCTGCTATAGTCATAAGCAAAGCCAGCTCTACACTGACGTTCACAATCCTTCACATTATTAGCCCGTTAACAGCACACAGCGTTGCGCACACACACACACAAAACATAAAAGTCCCTGAGCTCCAACCGGGCTGAGGGCAGTTTCCAATGCAGCCCACTTCATTGCAAATATATCAACATCCAGCCCAGTCTCCTTCCTGCTTTCCACATCTCTCTCTCCCTCCGGCACTGTCCCTGTCACTCTTCCCCCCACTTTGGAGGGGCTTTGAAATAGAACCTCTGCCCTATGACTGCATAGAGCTGTTCATCCCCATTCATCGCCATTTCCGGGTGTTTGTCATCTTCGGGTGTTGTGGGAGATGTAGTTTTAATTAGCTTCCCTGGTCCTGCTCATCCTCAGTCTCTGTCACCAGCTCTCCCTCCCTCCCCCCTTCCCCACACCTCAGTGCCAGACCCATTGGCAGAAGCTGTGGGTTTAGCTTTACATTTCTCAGTAGGTTCCTTCTCCACTTTCTCATCAATTGCTCACTCCGGCGGCTCTCTGAACTTTCTTCAGTCATGCACTGCACCAGCTTATTCCCCACCCAGTCCCCAGGAATACCACCACTGCCCCTCTGTCCGTTAGTATCCACTCACCCAGGGACCTCCTGTATATACAGACACTCCCTATAAATATAGACACTCCCCAGGCACCCCCAGTAAAAACAGAAACTCCCCAGGGACTCCCTGTAAATACAGACACTCACTCCGAGCCCCTTGTAAATACAAACACTCCCCAGGGATTCCCTGTAAATACAGACACTCCCCAGGGACCTCCTGTAAATACAGACACTCCCCGGGGACCCCCTGTAAATACAGACACTCCCCGGGCAACCCCTGTATAAACAGAAACTCCCCAGGGACTCCCTGTAAATACAGACACTCTCCAGGAACCCCCTGTAAATACAGACACTCCCCACGGATCCCCTGTAAAGACCCCCTGTCAATACAGATATTCCCCAGGGACCCGCTGTCAATACAGATACTGCCCAGGGACACCCTGTAAGCACTCCCTGTCAATACAAATACTCCCCAGGGACCCTCTGTTGATATGAACATGTAAATTGAGACACTCCCTAGGAACCCCCTGTAAAACAGAAACTCCCCAGGAACCTCCTGTATATACAGACACTCCCCAGGAAGCCCCTGTAAATACAGACACTCCGCAGGAACCCCCTGTAAATACAGACACTCCCCAGGGGCCCCCTGTAAA